GGGCCGGGGGAGCCTCATGCTGAACCACCGTCGGGGTCTCGCCCAGCGCCTCCACATCCCCTCGTGCACACACCACCATGAACACAGCTGCCCCCGGCCCTGCCCATACCCAGCCTGCGCGGCCATCGCGTCGCACCTCAGCCCGTCCTGCTTCAGCACCCCCACACACACATTCACCTCCCCATGTCAAACCCCACCGCCTGCCGAGCTGAGCCTCCACCAGCCCTCTCCTGCAGTGCCTTTGCCCCCACAGCCACCCCGCTCTGGGCTCACCTCACAGTTTATGTTGAAAAGACCTTTTCATTCAGCTGTTATTGATGTTCCCATAAACAAGACTTCAGCCTCAAGTTTTGCCCCGATCGCCCCACACGTTCTCGCCTGTGAGTCTGCTCAAGAGGCTGGCGGGGGGGGTGTGCTGCCTCCCCAGCTGCCTGCACGGGCACTAGTGGAGAAGTGAGCACTCTCGTATGGACCTTGACAGCATGTAAATCATCTTCTGTTTAATTAAATGCAGGAGACAGTTCCTCACGTTAGGGGGCTGTAGATAACACAAAGGCTTCTGGTTTTTTTTTTGGTCCACAGTGTTAAAGAAAGAAACACAGCAGAGAGGAACACACTCCAACACTGTTAATGGAAGGGAAAGAAAGCTCCCTCCATGGCTGAATCTACAGTCTGCTTATGTTACAGGAGGGTGGAAGAGGCAGCAGCTGCTCTGAGTGAGCCCAGGTTTCCAGGGGCAAAAAATGTAGAGATTGAGGAGGAGAAGTCACATCACACGACTCCCGGACACCTCTGTTGGGGTGGACTCGCAGGAGACAGAGCTGAGAAATGCCACAGCACTTCACTCCAGAAACACACAGATCTGCAAAGGTCTCCAGAGCTTTTTATCAACACTGATGGGATTTATCTGCTGCACATGTTGCTCGAAGAGGGTGCCAGAGCAGTGCTTGTATGGATTGGAGATGTTCTGGTGTTGGGAGAGAGTGGCAGCCATAGTGGCAATGGTCCTACAGCTAGTGTCTTCATGACAGTAGTGTCCATGGGACAGCAGCTGATGCTCTCCTCATCCAGTGTCTGTTGCCTTTCAGAATTATCAGGTTCCCGTGGCAACTGGTAAAAGCTAAAGTGAGAAGGACCATCGAGGAAGCTTTGAAAGTCTGGAGCGATGTGACTCCGCTGACCTTCACCGAGGTGCAGGAGGGACGGGCTGATATCATCATCGACTTCACAAGGTGAGCCTGGTGGGCAGCAGCACCCTCCTCCCAGACAGAGGAGCAACCCTGCACACAAGACTCCGAGCCCCTAACCAGAGCAGAGTTGCCAGCACACCTCTTAGACACTTAAATGGAGGCTCCTATTTCTGCTTTCAAACACTGGGATTTTTTTGGTTTTGGTTTTTTTTTGGTCAGTTGTGGGCTGCTTGGTGAAAGTGCAGCTGTCCCATGCTGGCTGTGCAGAGTACCCTTACTGATCGTTAATTAATTTTCCTGGTGTATTTATGTTCCTCTGCCCACAGGCTGTTTTCCTAAGCATTTGTTTTGACTTTCCATCTTCAGGTCCTCCATCCTGTCCCTTGACTGAACAACATAACTGTCTGCCCAAAGACAAATACAGTTTCTTGGTTAAATGAATCTTGGCTCCTAGCCTGAAATTCACTTTTGGCAAAATATGCACGGGGGCAAAGACTTCCCTCTGCTGCGTGTTTGCACAGCTCTAAGAAAGGCAGTGGAGATTGTCCAAGCAGTGACAGATTTGCATGCTGTGATTCTCCTCTGCCTCCCCCAGCTCTCTGAAGTGGCCACATCTCTCGTGGGTCTCCTTCATTAGTCAGCAGCAGGCTTGGCTTGGGTGAGGACCTTAGGGTTTGGACGGGTTCGCTGCCGGTTGCCCCTCCACATCCCCCCAGCACTCAGCTATGATGACTTAATCTTGGCTTAAGCAGTCACCTCCTTAATTCTTTAGGCTCCATGGCCAGCTTTGGGCTGAAAGCTGGACAGGGGGAGGAGAGAAACATCCCTGAGAAAACATACAAACTCCCCAGGGCTTGTGTGAACAAGCTCTGCTTCCTCAGCGCCCCGGTGCAGAACCAGGTTTGTGGGAATCGAAGGGCTCCGAGCAGCTGAGCTGCACTGGTGGGATGAACTCGGGATGGGAGTGGGCGCTGCTGTCTGCTCACAGTGGCTCTGGACCTTTGCCGTAGGATGCTGTTCAGTGGAGGTCCACGGCTGTTTGTCTGAGGTGGAATGTGTCTTCCCTCCAGGTACTGGCATGGAGACAACTTGCCTTTTGACGGGCCCGGAGGGATCCTGGCACACGCGTTCTTCCCCAAGACTCACCGGGAGGGAGATGTCCACTTTGACTATGATGAGACCTGGACGATTGGGAACAACCTGGGTACAGTACTGCTGCAAGGGGAGCTCTGGACGCTCCAGGATGCTTATGGGTGTGCTTGGAAACGATTCCGTTGTGGTGTGAGCAGGGAGCCTGTAAAATCGAGAGGCGACCATCATTTTTGTGGCGTGGATTTTCTTCTCCCACCACTTACAAGCCTCCTGTTAGCATTCAGGCCCCTCCTTGTTGTCTGTCCGCCACAGCAAAACCTGTGTCCAGCACCAGGACCCTGGCTTCCCAGGGGGCTCCCCCTGTGGGGGGGTAGTAAGAGAGACAGCTCCTCTGCCCAGCCACGTGCCCTGCCACTTGGGAATTGCACCCCACATTGGCAGGAGCCTTAGAAAGAAAGCAGGGAAAGGCTAAAGGAAAACTGAAGTTCAAGCACCAGATGACACAGTTGTCTTCCAAAGGACAGCCTCAGCCCCAGGCCCTGCACACACAGTTCACTCTCTGCCCTCAAACAAGTCCATAAAGGGAAGGCACCCAGGCTCCAGCTCTGTCCCTGTGCCCTGGGAATGCTCTGACCATAAACAACGTCACGTCGAGTCAGGACTCTTTTTTTGACTTTTGCTAATAATAGATCCAAGCTGGTAGCTCTCTGCTCGGGCACTCAGGGTCTGGTGTCACAGTATCTCATGAGATACTGCGGTACTGCCTGTGACCATCTGGATCAGTGCCCAAAGCATTGGTTGCAAAACCCACCACTATTAACCCAGGTCAGCCCCTCCTCCTCCTTCCCAGTTTATCGACAGGGACAAAGAAACCATCACAAAGCCCAAGTTAAAGCCCTGCCTCTCTGTAGTTTCCCAAACATTTTGGCGACATTGATGTTCAGGGCTCAGGTGGGCTCCCCTAGGGTCCGTGCCATTGTCAGTTGTACAGGAATTTGACTCTGCATGGGGCACAGGATTGCTCTGTCTCTGAACCTGCTCATGCTGACCCAAAATGAGAACCACAGAGCACCAGACCTTTCTGCAGAAGCGTTTCTGCTCCTGAGGGAAAGGGTGGGCTCTGCTGGTTTTCACCCTCTGTTGGGGCTGCCTGTGTAGTCAAAGAATTTCCTACATTCTCCCACAAAGACAGGGTCAGAGGCAAACCAGGAACTGAAAATGGATGCCAGTTTCCATCAGAATCCTGCACTACTCCATGGCCTTTTTTTCCCCCCTACACCTTCCATAAATCAATGCTGTAAAAGCTCTTTGCAGCTAATTGCCATTTAATATGCTGAAAAGAGCTTTGTGATATAAACATGGATAAATCCTTGACTCAGCTCTCAGTGAGACAGGGAAATCCTTAGCCTCATCTTACAGACAGGAGAGCAGAAGTACAAGGAGGGCTAAAGTGTGCCCTGGGGTCACCCCCGAGCCATGCAGGAAGCAGGGTTCCACGTGGAGGACCTTCTGTGAGGGACACAGTGATGGTCCCGAGCACAGCTCCTTCAGGCGTGCTGTGGTTCACCTCCCCCTGAGAACCTGACGATAGCAGGACTGATCTGCCAATGCTGGAAAGCATCAAGTGAGGAGCCTGCCAAGCTAAACAGAAGTGTCTGAAAGTTTGTAATAAATCACTGACATGGAAATCCCACTTTCTCAGCTGACCCAGATGTGTTGATTTAATTGGGTCAGTGCCACGCAAATTCATCGCCTCAATGCACAGCTGACCAGGAGAGGAAGACAGGGCTTCACCTTCCCAGGGGTTCCTCCCAGCTGCATCCCCCCATTCCACCCTGCCCAGGTGCTGAGGAGTGACCTGCTCCCCTTGGAGCCAGCAGGGAAGGGAGGTCCTGCCTGCAGCAGAGAGGCTGGGCCTGCCGTTCCCATCGCCCGGGCTGCAGCTTGGAGGATTTCTGGCTGAAGGTGAGCGAACGAATACGCTTGGACTTGTCAACAAACAACCCCGCTCACAAGCTCTGCTGCTCAACACGCCTCTCTCCCAGCTTTCCTTGGAACTTAGCAACTTCAAAGAGGAGCCACTGGAAGCTAACCAACCCCTGCCAAATGACACATTTTTGCATACTGAAATCCACTTTTCCCGCTCTCCTTCACTAGATGCTCCAAGGTCATATATTCCTAGGACACGATCTCTCATACATCTACTTGAGTCTGGCAAAGAAGGCTCAGGCCTTGACACAGGATAATTTTTTTATGGATTTATTTCTAAATGTCACCTGCTTGACAGTCCACACACAAGCAATAAATGAGCTCCCTCTGCCGCCTGTGTGACAACAGCCATGAGCAAATTTTGATCCCAGCGTTGTTCCCTCACTCATGCTGGTGCTTCCACAGTGGATCTGATACAAATGGGACCCAAGGCTGGCTGGCTGGAGACCAACTCCACCACTGGCTGCCTACATCTGCAGGCCAGATTTCCTTTGTGCAAATTTCTCCCTTCCAAAAGTGTGTGGAAAACCCTTTTCTTCCTGGTAGCTGATGAGGTGCAAGAGTCCCTTGGCTACAGAATGACAGCTTACCAACGTGCCCAGGTTAATAGCTGAGCATAAGGATTCACTCATGGTGCTCCTGGAACAGTGGATTTCTTAATTATGCCTTTTGACTCCCTAAAAAACACACACAAACACAGGAAAAGTTGGGGGACAACAACCCATGAGCACTGTAGCAAAGGCAGATTTCTCTTTCCTCGTGTTAGAATCCTGCAGTGGGGCTCAGTTCACGTTCAGAGGCTGGTAACAGGTGAAAGTGAGCCTGGGAGGCAGGGGCCTGCTCTGCAGGCACAGCTTGCCTGTCGCACACAAGGCAAAAGCGTCTCCCATCTCTTCCCTTTGCAGGCACTGACCTCCTGCAAGTGGCTGCTCATGAGTTTGGCCACGTCCTGGGCCTGCAGCATACGTCCGTCTCCAAGTCACTGATGTCTCCTTTCTACATCTTCCGCTACCCGCTGAGCCTGAGCGAGGATGACAAGCAAGGTATTCAGTACCTCTACGGGAAACCCAAAGTGGAACCCAGCCCAACCCCAACCCAGCCAGCAGAACC